TTTTTGAACTCGCGCGTGGCGGCCGTGTATTGGGAGCCCTGCCAAGCCGAACCAGCATAGGTGTCCCCTGTGAGGCCGAAGAGCTCCCGCGTGTCAGGCGACGCCCTGCTGGCCTCGGCCGCTCCCGCCTCCGCCGCGGCCGCAGCGGAACCACCCGCGGGAGGCGTGGGCACCATGGCGGCGTGGGGCGCGCTGAGAGAAGGGGGGGAGTGCCGAGGAAGCAAAAAGAAATAGCCCATAAGCCAACGGCGGCCAGATGTGAGTGAAACCTAGCTGGCCTGTGCTAGCATCTGTGTAAGGAGGACCCTCCTGACGGGCCGACTGATGCACGCCTGGCCTGGTGCGGAGTCTATAGGGATGAGGATGTTGCCGCTACGCATGTTGACCCGCAGCGCAAGGCCGGTGCGGTAAGGTATGCCCGTGCCAAATAGGATCGGCCGTGCATCCATCTCCTGAAGGATGGGGAGGTGAAAAATGCGCGGCCTTTCCACAGAGGATGGCAGCCTGGTCTCCTGCCCATGGAATTGCTCCATTAGGAGCCCTACATTGATGGGCAGTGGGGACCAGAGCGAAATGGGGCCTGTCGTTATCACTACCATCCACTGCACTGCTGTAGGCGGTGGTGGCGCTGCTTCAGTGGGGGCGCAGCGGAAGTCACCGTGCTCGAACTGCGGCAGGTGCTGCGCCTCTGGGGTCGGCATGGCCTGAGGGATTAGGGTTCGGGGAGGCGGAGGATTCGAGCGAGGTGGGACAACGGGAGGCAGAATGGCCGAACCATGATCATGGCCTGGAAGTCTATAAGGATGGGGCTGCCAGCCGCTGCATCCTGCAAAAGCCTGTGAGGGCTGAGGGAGGCCTGCTCCCAGGCCCCCGATTGAAGTAGGACCAGAAAAAGTTGGTTCGGCACGTAAACTGAAACTAGCCCTATGGTGGGTGAGAAACGGGCATCGTAGGGACCGTCCCCCGCAGCACATTGGGGGTAGATGTGGAGTAGGTTGGGGGAGTTGGCCTCGCGCCAGCGGCCATGCCAGCGCTCGAGTGTGCGATTAACGGCCGTGGGCAAATCTAAGTGAAGCAGAGGGCCCACGACGGAGCGCGCGTGTGGCCATGTGGGCGGCCCGCTCTCGAGCTGCCATGTGGCTTGCCACTGGGGTACCGCATTATGCTGGTACACCGTGGTGGGAGACAGAATGAGTGCGTGGCGCCTTGCGCCGCCGCTGAGAAAGCGGTATACTTGCTGGTGAGCCAAAAGAAGCCGCTCAGCAAGATGCTTCCATAAGGAAGTCGAGCGAGAGGCTAGATGCGCGATGCTTCGCGGAGCTAGTTGTTGCCCGGGGTACACCTCAGCAGCTGGCACGTCCTCGTCTGCATCGGCGTTGTCCAGGCTACTGGGCTCGCTCCTCATGGCCTGATGGGGATGAGGCAGGAAGGGGAGCATATAGAGGAAAGAGGGAGAGGTTAGGCTTAGGCTGGGGGCTAGCTGCCTGGCAAGGGTCTAGCGCCTGGCAGCCTCTCCTCCTTCATGAGGTTTGCGCGGCCTCCTGGGCGACAGACGCTGACCGCAATGCGAGAGGCTTTCGCCATCTCGCAACTGCATCTTGAGGCGCTCCCTGTGTATCCTGTCGATACGGAGCTGGCCCTGCCTATGCTCTTCTTTGAGCTGAGCAATTTTATTCTCATGCTCCTTGAGAAATGCGCTGCGCTGTTCGTCCGCTGCTGCGGCTGACGCAGCTGCAGCTGCGACTGTAGGCGGCAGGCGCGTAGCTACATGGCCAGAATGGTGAGACTTACGAGCCTTGTGATGCCTTGTAGGAGGTGAGGCTGGTGACGAGGCCGGGCCGTGGGAATCCTGCGGGCTGCTTTGAGCCTCTACTGGATCCCGGCGCTGTGGCATAGGCTGCTCGTCCGAGGCTGCATCAGACGCTTTGGCAGGCGAGCGTGAGCGCTGTGCTGCATGGGCCGCGCGGTGCGCCTTGGCCTTGCGAGCTCTATGGTGCCTAGGGGGAGGAGAGGCTGGAGGTGTCGGCGTGCCGAGGGACTCCTGCGGGCTGCTATGTGCCTCAGCAGATTCCCTGCGTATTGGCGCAGACTGTTTGAGCGCGCTTTTGCGCGGCTCGTTGCGTAAGCGCGAATTATGGGCCACCTTGAGGGGCTTGGCTGAGAACTCGTCCGCAAATGGGAGGGAGGGAGGGAGGGAGGGGGAGGAGGAAGAGGAGGATAGAGGAGGGACGAAGAGGGGGAGGAGGGGGAGGAGGGGGAGGATGGATGAGGAGGAGGAGAAGGCGGAGGAGGAGGACGAGGAGGAGGAGGAGAAGGTTCAGGAGGAGGAGAAGGAGGGGTCGGAGTCGGAGGAGTAGGAGGAGGTTCAGGAGGAGGAGAAGGATGGGTCGGGGGAGGAGCAGGAGGAGGAGGATGAGGAGGAGGAGGGAGGAGAAGAGGAGGAGGAGCAGGAGGAGGAGGAGGAGGAGGAGGTAGAGGTGCAGGAGGACTTGGAGGAGGAACTGGGAGGAGGAGGAGGAGGAGGAAGGGAGGGTCCATGCCAGGTGGGGAAGAGGCTAGGTGGAGGCTAGGAGGAGGGGGAGGAGGAGGAAGAGGAGAAGGAGAAGGAGGAGGAGGAGGAGGAGTATTCTGATCCTAAGTGAAGCGCACACTAGACTCGAGGGGAACCTGGGCCACCTGGGGTATAGCCGAAACCAACTCAGGCACAGCCAGGGCCTTCAGGAGAGTGAGGAGGAGGAGGAGGAGGAACATGATGAGGAGGAGGAGGAGGACGAGGAGGAGGAGGAGCAGGAGGAGGAGGAGGAGGAAGAAAATGAGGAGGAGGAGGAAGAACATGCGGAGGAAGAACATGCGGAGGAGGAGGAGGAGGGGGACGAGGAATTCGAGTTGGAGGACGGCGGCGGCGGCCACCTCGGCGGCGGCCACGACGACGGCGACGGCGCTCCGCCGACGCCGCGCCCCCGCCGCAGCTGTCCGCCCAGCGCTACGAGGCGCGCGCCGGTGCCGCCGGCCGCCCCCGGCAGCGGACCGGCGCATGCGGGGCGGCCGGCATGCGCGTGTCAGTTGCTCTGGGCCGCCCAGGTGGGGTCGGAGTATCAAGCAGTGGCGAAGCGTCCTGGCGTGCCTATGGGGCTACCAAGCAATGTTCTAAGACATGTTATTAGGGCATTTCTGGCTGGGACTGTCTTGTTTTGGCACATCGGGCTTTTTTCTAAGAACATTGTGTTGGTTCTTGGAACATATTTGGGTTCTTAGAACCGTGATAGTTGCTCTGGGCCGCCCAGGTGGGGTCTCGGGCCGGACGAATGGGGGGGATTGGGAAGGGGGGGGGTACGAAATTTGCTGCGTGCAGCTGGTTTCGGCCCCACCGAGGGCCCCATTCCTCGATACATAGCCGCCTCTGGCGCCTGGAGGCGCCGGGGAAATCAGCTATGTGAGCTGATTTCCCCCCCCCCCCCCCCTTTGCTATCCCCCCATTTCGCCCGGCCCGAGGGTCGGAGTATCAAGCAGTGGCGAAGCTTTCCTGGCGTGCCTATAGGGCTACCAAACAATGTTATAATAATCCTTGTTGTGGTTTCTCACGAAATATTCTTAGAACATTTCTGGCTGGGACTGTCTTGTTTTAACACATCGGGTTTTTGTTCCAAGAACATGGTTTTTGTGTTTAAAACATTCTTGGGTTCTGAGAACATGTCGTGGTAGGCCTGTAGGAATGCCAGGACGGTCTGTCCCTGCTCAAGAGTAATGGGGTCGGAGGATCGCGCCGCAACGCCGATGCATCGACGATGCGGCTCGATGTGAAGCCCGTGTTTCCCCACGCCGATGTCGCCGATGCATCGCCGACGGCGCCGATGCATCGCTGATGCCCGTCGAAGAAGAAACCGCGTCATAAACATAAACCTTTGGCGCTCCGCGCGGATTTCTTGGATCCGCGCTTTGGCTCCCCCGGCGGCGCCTCCAGCGCTGCCATTGGCGCACTCCGCGCGCCGGGGATGGGGGTCCAGCGCAGATCCAACAAAATTTCCACGCGGAGCGCCACAAGTCTATGCTTATGGCGTTTTTTTGTCCATCTAGCTTGGGCGTTGCGTAATTGGGGCGGTAACTGGGGAGGGGGCGCGCACAAGGGGGGTAGGGGGAGGGGGGGAAGGAGGCTGCTTGTAAGAAGGCGCCGGCCCTACATCGATAGACAAGGCCCGCGCCTTCTAAGAAGCAGGGGTGCTTCTAAGAAGCTTTTCTCCATCCACCTACCACACTTCGCGCGCCGCCGACGGGGGGTGAAAGAAGGTGCACTTTTTGTGCACCATGGGAGCCCTGAAAGGCCCCCCCGGGGCAATGGGCATGCACGACAACATTGTCGACGAGACTGGTGCAAAAAAGCAGCGACAAGACGACTGTGATTGGTCAGCGAGAGGCATTTCATGACGCGAGCCGCGCAACGATTATGTGACCCAGCCGAGGCCCTAAACCAAGTGCCCGTGTTCGCTTCGAGCATTACGCGACCCGACGTTAAGAACAGAGGCGTTTGTGCTTCAGCGCCACCGAGTAGCGCCCGTGCAATTACCAGCGTTAGGCATAACCACTTCTTCTCTTAGTCCCATTGCCGATCCATTCATATACTGAGAATGTCAGCCATTCGGGGTGTACCGTTGCACTCTGCTCTGCGGTAAATGTTCATCGCCTATCGCATGCTAGCCCCTGCATTTTTCCGCCCCCAAAAGAAACCTCTACTTGTGACATGTGACTACGGCGCATCTGCAGCCAACGCTCGCCTGCGCATTTCCTTTGTTAGGTTGGGTGCACGAGCTGTTGGCCCAAATCTTTGCCAACTGCCCTCTTCCATTCCCGTACCACGACGAGGGGGCAACGAGGAGGGGCGAGGAGGGCGAGGAGGGCGAGGAGAGAAGGAGGAACCAAGAGGCCGGCGGCCGCGAGGCAGGCCGCGCGCCGCGGGCCTCGGCTCCGCTGCCCCCCCTGCTGCGTGGGACGCCCGCTTGGGCCAGCGCAGGCCCTGCTGGACGCGGAGATTATGCACTTCGCAAGGGCGAAGCTCCACCCGGCGCGCGTCCGAACCCCTGTGGGGGGGGAAGCCAGCGGTGGGTGCTCAGGAGGGACAGCTTCGGGATTCGGGAACAGGGGGGGCAGGGTTTCGACGGAGGGATCCCCGCGACCTCTTGTCCGCAGGACCACCACACGGTTGCGAACCATCAATCTAGGAATCTCCCCTCACCCCTCCATTCAATTTGGATATGATTCCCTTCCCTCCCAATGTGTTGCCCTACCTCCAACATGGTACGTGGTAGTGTACAGGTTGATGCTCGATAGCTAGCTTGCAGGAGAGCGGCAGGACACTAGCAGCGGCACATATTTTTCGTTGCGCGATGGCGCAATAATGCGGCGGGAACGCGTCGGCCTTGTGCACAAGTGCGCCGGTCGACGGACGGGTCGTCAGGCACGGGTCAGGTAGGCGTCCCTGAGCTGCTGACCTTCGCGAGCTAAGTGATGGTGCTTTGATCTTATGTGCAAAAAGGACAACCAACACGGTGAGATTGCAGAGCTCGGGTAAAAGGACAGGAGGATGCTCGCCGAGCTGACTCCAGGACGTCTTCGGCACCACCCGAGGGGCTGCGGCCCCCGCGTCGACGCCTCCACGGCGCGCGGGCGCGCGCCAGTGCGGCTGCGGACGTCGGCGCTCGCCCCCTCCGCCCCCCCCTTCCCCCCATCCTCGAGGGCAGGAGGAGCTGATGGGTAGGATGGGAAGGATTGATTCCGTGGTGCCAATGATTCGAATTCGGGGTTCTGAAGCAATCGTGTACTACGACATCGGCGCCCCCGCCGAGCTCTCAGAGGGGAACCCCTCCCCGGGTGCGAACATCGGCGCCTTGCCTTGCCTTGCCTTCCCCCCTGCTCCTCCCCCCCCTCCTTCCAATAATCTTCCCGTCTCGTCGGGCGCCCGCAGATCACCCTGCGGGACATCCTCGGGCAGAAGGCTCTGGGCCCGACGCGGGGGGGGGCTCCAATGCGAGGCATGGGGACAGTACATACCACGGCCTTCGAGCAGCACGCGCAGCAGGAGTGCGACGAGGTGGGCGACGAGGAAGAGGATGAGGAGGAGGATGGCAGATGGGGGCGAGGAGGGTGAACACGGCGAGGACGAGGAGGAGGAAGTGAAGGAATGGGAGGAGGAATGGGAGGAGGCGGGGGGGAGGAGGAGGAGGAGGAGGAGGAGGAGGAGGAGGAGGAGGAGGAGGAGGAGGAGGAGGACGAGGGGGATCAAGGCAAGCCACGTGCGCTCGCGCCATGTCAAGCATCCTACCCCTCCCGCCCATCCATTCCCCTTGCGTTTCATTGCCCAATCACTCCGCTCGTTCCGCTGGCCAGTGCTGCAGCATCGTTGGCACTTGCTTTGCGCGCTCGCGGGGGCTGAGCGGGGGCGGGTGGCGGTCGTGCCCCTGAGATGTCGCAGTAACCTCCCGTGATGGAGAACTCGTGGCGAGGAAGTGGCAGGGCAGCGCTCAAAGGAGCACGCCCCCACCGAAGTTCCGCCCGTGCATCCTGCCGCCGTGCCTTGAACGTTGGGGCAGATGCGTGCTGGATGCCGGGCGGGTTGTCCTGAGGTGCTTCTCGGGGGCCTCGTGGGGGCTCCGTGGGGCTCTGGAGCCGGGCTGGTGCCCTCTTCAGGGTCTTTGTGGGGCCTCCGGGGGCCTCAAGGGGGGCCCCTTGGGGGCTTCTTTGGGGGTCGTCTGGGAGCTTACCTTGGGCCTCTTGAGGGCTTCTGGAATGCTCTGGGGGGTCTGCTGGCGGTCTCTGAGACCCAAGGGGAGGGGTTAAAAGCGGGAGCAGGACAGCGACATGTTCTCACACGCCGCACCCTTGGCAAGCGAGGGTCGGCGGAGAGGGAAAAGGAAGAGGACGAGGAGGAGGAGGAGGATGTTCCTATCTATTTTAGCTTTGTTCGCCAGAGAGTTTTTTGAGCACCAATCAAGTACCGAAACTTGCGGGTTTTCACGTGTCGGACCCTGGGAGGCGATACTCGTTCGACAGTGTTTTGATACTTTTCTGGGCGTTCGAAGTTATTTGTCTGGGATGTGGTCCGAAGTAGGAGGAGGAGTTGGGGCGAGCGCTGCGGCTGCTCCAGAGGCCTTTGATGGCGAGGCGGAGAGCCACGACAGCAAGTGGAGGAACAGACCATTTTGCTGAGGTCGGGCGTGTCCCTCTACAGGAGGAGTATTGAAACATAGTCAAACAATAGTCTGGGGACGATTGTTGATTCTGTTTGTCCCTTTGCGGTTATCTATCGCCCGATCCAACATTACGCAGATGGGGGAGTGTAGAAGGTGGGAGTTGGGAACGTGTGAGCATCGACCGCTGACTAGAGTGCCGCGGATGCTCGCGCTGCCTGCCCGTGTGTGCCGAGGACGTGGCTGGATTTCGCGAGTTTCTCCTGGAGGAGCGGTTTCTGCTTGCCCATCCACTGCACCACCATGCACTCCAGAGCATTGGACTCACAGAACTGGCAGCACACCATGTATTCAAGGCCCGGGCTGATGTTTCCGTGGGTCTGCGCTGGACTCCCTGGCGCGTCTCGCGAAGCGGGGGAAGGGGGGGTCCAGCGCCGACCCGCCAACATCCGTGCCTCCCCCCGTTGTGACACGCATGCATGTGTGTGCTCCTCGAGCAGCGTATGCTTGCCGACAGCTCTCCAGTTGCACTCTGCATCTTATCCTCCTTGTCATCCCCCCCCAACCCCACCGTCCTGCGCATTTCTTCCCATCACGTCCATTCCCCCCTGCGCCTTCCGCAAACCCCTCCATCATCCTCACTCTCCTCCTCCCCCTCTATCCCTCTCATCCGTCTCCTCCCGCTCATTCCTCCCATCCTGCTCCTCCTCCCCGTTTCGCCCTCGTCCTCCCTCCGTTCACGTCCATCCCTTCATCCCCCCTCATTCCTACATTTTCTGGTCTCCTCCTCCTCATCCTCATCCTCCTCCTCCTCCCTCCTTCTGCTCCTCGCGCCATTCACCCGCCCTCCTCGCTTCTTCCGACCCTCCTCGTCCGTGTCCCCTCCTCCCTCCCCCTTCTCCTTCCGCATGCCTGCCCCCTCCCTGCTCCGTTCTCGCTCCGTCATCGCTCCACCCTCGCCCCCCTTCCTCCCACACCTCCCTCACTATATCCTCTTCAGCTCATCGTTCTTCGTCCTCCTCATCGTTACTCCTTTCTCTCTCATCCTCCCTTTCTATATCGCTTCCCTCCACCGTGCTCTCCATTACCGTTTCCCTCCGTCCCTCCACGCCTCTACGTTCCTCAATCCATTCTCTCTCCTCGTCTTCCGCCTCCCTCCTCACTCGCGTTTGTATATGTATCTTCAGGTTCCTCCTTGTCTTCCCTTCTCCCTCGTCGTCTCTGTTCACTTCTATTTGTATGTTATCCCCCCTTTCTTATCCTTTTACTCTCCGGTATGGGCTTCATTTCCCCCCGTCTTTCTCCCCCCCTTTTCGCGTATGCGTCCGTATCAATCGTTCCCAGGTACTTCTCCTCATCCGCCGTTTATCCTTCATTTTGTTCTGCGTGCTCGTCACTGTTTTGTCAGACGTTCCTCGAACCCCAATGGAAGCTCCTCTGATTCCGAGTGTCATGGCGGCATTTTCCATACATTCGCACGCACCTGGTGCGATACATGATGTTGACAACAGTTTTTGTAGAGGCCTTTGGCCCGTGCCGCCGATCAGGGACTTTCGGGACGCTGCCTGCGAACTCGTCCTGCTTGAATCGTTGGTGATTCTTGACCTCGAGGAGACAGGAGGGCGGAGGAGGAGGAGGAGGAGGAGGAGGAGGAGGAGGAGGAGGAGGAGGAGGAGGAGGAGGAGGAGGAGGAGGGGGAAAAGGATGAGGAGGAGTAGGAGGGAGAGGCGAAGGAGGGTGTTGGCAGTCGCCTCAGGCAGGCGGGCTAGTTGGTGGGTCGGTGGGCTTGGGAGATCCGGCCCCAGTCTCGGCCCGGGCTTCGGCCCAGGCCCCGCCCCAGCCCCATGGGCCCTGATGCCCCAGCCCCCGCCCTGGTTCCTGGCCCCGGTCCCCGGCCCGAGGCCCGGTCCCCGCGCTGCCCTCGCATAGGGGCCAGTCCGTCGGTGGGATCCCGCCCGTGCGCGCTCGATCGCGCGCGGCCTCGGCCCTCGTCGTCCCCCGCTGGAGAGCGTTTCTGCACTCCCGTGCGATGGCGCGCGGTTCCGGTTTTACTTCCTTCTCCTCCTCCTCCTCTTCCTCCTCCTCCTCCCCCCTCCTCCTCCCCCCTCTTCCTCCTCCTCCTCCTCCCCCTCCTCCTCCTCCCCCCCATCCTCCTCCTCCTCCTCCTCCTCCTCCTCCTCCTCCTCCTCCTCTCCTCCTCCTCCTCCTCTCCTCGTCCTCCTCGTCCTCCTCCTCCTCCTCCTCCTGCTCCTCCTCCTCCTCTCCTGCTCCTCCTCCCTCCTCCTTCTCCTCCTCCTCCTCCCCCTCCTCCTCCTCCTCCTCCTCCTCCTCCTCCTCCTCCTCCTCCTCCCCCTCCTCCTTCTCGTCCTCCCTCCTCCTCTTCCCCCCCAAACTGGAAGCTGGAAGCTGGGGGTGAGGGGGCGAGCACGAAAAGTAACCACCACCTACATTTTCGGGCTCACGACACGGGGGTCAATGCAAACGGAGGTCAGCCAGAGCGCCCGATCTTGCAGGATCCTGCACGGCCAGGGGTCGCATTGACCCGGGCTTGGGTGCAGAATTTTGCAGGATCATGCAGGGTTCTGACCCGGATCTGGATTGACTCGGGCGGCCAAGAAGGGGGTGATGATTAGGGGGGGGATGGATATCATGGCGTGGGCCATGATATCTCCTCAGGTTTCATGGCTCCACTTTTTTTTTCATTACGTCCCTGGCCCCCCCCCCCGGGCCGGGCACATGCCGCGGGCCATGATGTGTACATACCCCTCTTGGACGCCTCCCTCGTGGACGCCCCCTCGATGGGGCTGGTCAATTCACGTTTCGCGCCGGCGCCGTCTGGAAATACCCAGGAATAACCAAGGACGGTTCGGATAGCAGATAGGGATCTACTATGGCGAAGTGAGTCCCTCCTTTTTTTCTCTTCCTGCTCCTTCTCTCCCGCGCTCCTCCCTCATCCTTTATCGTTCTTCTTTCCCCCCGTCGTCGTCGTCGTCGTCGTCGTCGTCGTCGTCGTCGTCGTCGTCGTCGTCGTCGTCGTCGTCGTCGTCGTCGTCGTCGTCGTCGTCGTCGTCGTCTCGTTGGCAAATTCACCTGGCCAACAAACACTTGCCCTGTGTGCTTCTTACCAGGAAGTTGTATACACATGACGTGGCCAGCCTGGGCGAAGGCTTGATACACATGAGGCCGCAGCACGGAGCATCCAGCAACTGGCCTCCGCATGTTCCGCATGTAATTCCAGTCGCGTGTGTTTCCAGCCTCCTGGATTGTTTAAGACACCCAGCTTGAGATTCTCGACCATTGCCAAGGCATTCAGAACGAAAGATGCAGTGCGCTGTCGGTAAGGTTGAGCTGGAAGTTTTCCACGTCTATGTCATGGGCTTCCGGCAGTCCGCACAGCACCGGTGCGCCCCAGCGAAGTGCTGCGCACGTCGTTGTGCAGCGAGTCGCTCTGCAACGCGGGAGCGATGAACAGGACGACAGGAGGAGGAGGAGCACGAGGGAGGCGATGCTCCGGAGTCAGTCCGACGAAAACTCGACGTAAGTCCAACGTGGTCCGACGTGAACCCGATGTAAATCCGAGGTGGATCTGAGTGGCCCTACGGCAGCGGGCAGGTCGTGCGTGTGACAGCCACACCGCACGAAACTGGAAAGAAGGAAAGAAATCCGACGTGGATCCGACGTAAAAAGGGCCTCGAGTTGCCGCGCGAGGCCTCCAGAATTTTCATCATCAGGGGGACGTCGACGACGAGGACGACGCCGCGGCCTTTTCCCCCCCTCGGGCCCCGGGGTGGCAGGGCCGCTCATTGAACACGAGTCGATCACAGAAGGTAAGCACGCAAGTCGGTTCGGCCGGACCTCGCCTGCCTCGCCCCCCTCCCTCCTTGTTCGTTTCCCTCCTTGGTCCTGCAGTGCCTGTGCGAGACACCTGCACTGCAGTGAGGAAGGCGAGGGCGACGAGAGGAGCAGGAGGGATAGGAGGATGAGGAGGCGGAGGAGGAGGAGCAGGAGGAGGCGGAGGAGGGGCCGGTGGTGGAGGATGGGAGGAAGAGGAGGAGGATGAGAAGAAAGAGGAGGAGAAGGAGAAAGAGAAGGAGGAGGCGGAGGAGGGAAGGGAGAGGATGGAGCAAAACCACCTCCCATTCCCAGCAATCCCCTTAGTTGCGCTTGGCTCTCCGTAGCTTTCCACCAGAGGCCCTTGCATATCCATACCATGGTTAGCGCTCCGCCATAGAAGATCACAAGAGGGGTATCTGCTATTCGAGCTATCTCGGCTGTATCCATACCACGGTGAGCGCTCTGCCATAGAAGATCCCACGAGGTATCTGCTATTCCAGCTGTCCTGGCTAAACCTCAGCATGCCCAGACGGCGTCGGCACGAGTCGTGTTACAAAGGGGGGTGGGGCGGGCCCATAACGACCGCTCTCACGGGAAATAAGAAACCGTTCTCTTGCCATCGATTGCCCAGGAGCTGCCGATCCGCTACGCGAGGAGGCTGCATCTGCTCGAGGCGCGTGGCACCCAAGGAGGTCTGGGAGAAGAGGGTGGGACTGAGAAAGGGAATGAGCTGCAGGAGGAGAAGGGAAGAGCGGCAGGAGGCAGGGACGGGTTGGAAGGGGGTGGAAGGAGGGGATGATGATGATGATGATGATGATGATGATGATGGTGTTGATGATGATGACGATGATGATGATGATGATGATGATGATGATGATGGTGGTGATGGTTAGGGTGATGGTGATGATGATGTTGATGATGAATGTGATGATGGAAGTGATGCTGCTGCTGATGATGATTATGATGCAGATGCGGATGCTGATGATGATGAGGATGATGATGGTTATGTTGATAATGTTGACGATTACGATGCTGATGCTGAGGATGATGGTGACGAGGAGGATGACGATACTGATTATGATGATGTTGATGCCGCTGAGGATGATGACGATGATGACGATGATGACGATGATGACGATGATGACGATGATGCCGATAGTGATGATGCTGTTGCCGATAGTGATGATGATGATGATACTAATGCTGCAAATGATGCTGCTGATGCTGATGATTATGATGAATATGTGGATGCAGATGATGATGATGATGATAATGCTGATAATGAGGAGGAGCAGGATTATTATTATTATGCTAATGGTGATGGTACTAATGATGACGATGACGATGATGATGATGATGATCATGGCGGCGATGCTGATGCTGATGATGCTGATGCTGATTGCGACGATGGTTGCTGATTTTGTTGATGATGGTTACGCTGATGATGCTGATGATGATGAATGTGATGATGATGCTGAACATGATGATGATGATGATGGTGGTGATGGTTAGGGTGATGGTGATGATGATGTTGATGATGAATGTGATGATGGAAGTGATGCTGCTGCTGATGATGATGATTATGATGCAGATGCGGATGCTGATGATGATGTGGATGATGATAGTTATGTTGATAATGTTGACGATTACGATGCTGATGCTGAGGATGATGGTGACGAGGAGGATGACGATACTGATTATGATGATGTTGATGCCGCTGAGGATGATGACGATGATGACGATGATGACGATGATGCCGATAGTGATGATGCTGTTGCCGATAGTGATGATGATGATACTAATGCTGCAAATGATGCTGCTGATGCTGATGATTATGATGAATATGTGGATGCAGATGAGGATGATGATAATGCTGATAATGAGGAGGAGCAGGATTATTATTATTATGCTAATGGTGATGGTGCTAATGATGACGATGACGATGCTGATGATGATCATGGCGGCGATGCTGATGCTGATGATGCTGATGCTGATTGTGACGATGGTTGCTGATTTTGTTGATGATGGTTACGCTGATGATGCTGATGATGATGAATGTGATGATGATGCTTAGCATGATGATGATGATGATGCTGATGATGATGATGATGATGAGGATGATGATGACGGTGATGAAGCTGATGCAGATGCTGCTGACGATGATGATGATGCTGGTGGTGATGATGATGCTGATGCTGATGCTGCTTCTGACGATGATGCTGACAATGATGCTGATGATGACGATGATCTTGATTACGAGACTGATGATACTGGTGATGGTGATGGTGATGACGTTGTGATGGTTATGGTGGTGATGATTATTCTGTTGTTCAGGATTTTGGTGGTGGTGGTGGTGGTGCTGATGATGATGGTGCTGATGACGGTAGACGGGGCCATGATATTGATGGTGGTGGTAGACGGGATGGAGGAGGAGGAGGGGTGATGAGGAGAGTCGGAAAGATGGTAAAGGCGAAGGGAGGGAATCATGATGATGTGGCGATGGGTTCTCTGCCATCGGGCCATGGGGCCGGCCGTCCCCAAATTCCCTCCCGCATCCTCCGTGGTTGCTCGCTCCTCACTGGCTCCTCCCTCCGCCATCCTGCCTTCTTCTCTTGTCCCTCCTCGCTTCTCCCTCCTCCCGCCTACTCGTCCTGGCCGTCTTCCGCGTCTCCTTTTTGATCCAAGACGCCTACGGCGAGCAACCGTTGCCCCGGGCCATTGGTAAGGGTATCTGTTGCCAAACGTTGGGCCACCGCCTGATCAAGCTGCTGGACTATGTGTTCCCATGTGGTGGAAGGTTGTTATAAACACTGTGGAGAGTGCAAGAGAGAGAGAGAGAAAGAGAGACAGCGCGAGAGAGAGAGAGAAGGAGAAACATCAGGGTCAGTATTGATAGTGATGATGGTGACAATTGTTGATGATGCTGATGATATTGATGAGTGTGATGATGGTGAGCATGATGCTGATTATGACTATGACGATGACGATGCTGCCGATGCTGATGCCGACGGTAACATTGACAACGGCGATGACGATTATGATGAGGTTGATGAAGATGTTGCTGCTGTTGCTGATCATGCTAATGATGATACAGTCTGATTTTTGGAATGATGATGCTGATGCTGATGATGATGCTGATGATGATGATGACGATGCTGCTGCTAATGATGATGATGCTGATGATTAATGCGATGATGAGGAGGATGTGACTGCGAACGGGAACGGATATGACGACGATGAATACGCGGCTGATGATGGTGATGCTGCTGATGTTATTGATGATGGTGTCGATGATGATGCTGAGGATGTTGTTGCTGCTGCTGTTGATGACGATGATGCTGATGAGCATGAGGCTGACTATGATGAAAACCAGGGTGCCGCTGTTGATGCTGCTGCTTATCTTGATGTTGTTGATGATGGTGCTGCTGATGATGCTGATGATGATGATGATGATGCTGATGCTGATGCTGATGATGATGATGATGACGACGATGCTGATGATGATGACGATGACGATGACGATGATGATGATGATGATGATGATGATGATGATGATGCTGATGATGATGGTGCTTATGATGCCGGGGGGTGACGAGGATACGATTTGGCGATGAGGGGGCGTCGACGACAACCTTGTGAGATGAAGACCACCGCGCCCTTTGCCCCTGGACTTCAGGGGCAGGGCGTCGGGGCCACGCCTGGCACGGGAGATGCTCAAGGGTGGGAAAAAACACCCCGACCCCGACAATTCGTGTTTACTAAACAGCCCTGGGCGTTCACCAAGCAGCCCTGCCCTGTTCGATTCCTCCATGGGTGCGTTTACTAAACGGCTTCGCTTGTCAGGGGTGCTGATTCCAGGGGTGGATTTTCTGCCCTCTATATACATGATCCGCCTCGCGTGTTGACAAAACCATGCAACCGTGCCGCATTAGCAGAAGCACGCCGACGGCCGTACGCTTCGCCGAGGAGGGCAAACCGCCCGGCCGCCTGCGCGACCGCCACGGCCGAGTCCAGCCGCGGCGGCCAGGGTCAGGAGGGGAAAAAAGACAGACACAATTATTCGTCGGTCTCCAGGAAGAAATTGGAAACTATGGGAATTGGGGGGAAACAACAACCCAGAAAAAATGGGAACATGGAGGAGGAAGAGGAGAAGGAGGAGGAGGAGGAGGAGGAGGAGGAGGAGGAGGAGGAACAGGAGGAGGAGGAGGAGGAGGAACGGGAGGAGGAGGAGGAGGAGGAGGAGGAGGAGGCGGAGGAGGAGGAGAAGGAGGAGTAGGAGTCTTACGAGTTGGCTGTGCCCTTCGGCCCATCGTTGGCCGCATTCGCGGGCCGCGCTCCGCTCGCAGCGTGTCGACCTGGCCTCCCAAAACCCTTGCATCCTTATCGTGCGTACTAGGTGTACGGGTTGGCTGCACTTGACCCGCTTTCCTGCTTCATTGTTCTACCTGGTTTTTCCGACCAACGTGCAGGGCTCCAGGAGGGCCTGAACCCGATCTACTTTACCACGCCTTCCTTCGAAAAATACTTAGCTTTTCGAATGACCCAACCATATGTAGTTGTGAGTACCGCAGTCATAGGTATCGTATTCGGTGGAGCTTCCCGTGGGGCCACGGAACGTTGCACTGGGTGGGGAGAGACGCATGCGAAGTTTGCAATTGGGGCCTTCGGTGGAGCTCCCTATGGGGCCGCGAAGCGCTGCACTGGGTTGGGGGCACGCATGCGGACTTTGCCAGTGGGGCCTTCGGTAGAGCTCCCTGCGGGCCACGAAACGTTGTGCTGGGTGGGGGAGACGCATGCGGACTTTGCTACTGGGGCCTTCGGTGGAGCTCCCTATGGGGCCACGAAACGCTGTTTGTGTGGGAAAGACGCATGCGGACTTTGCCATTCGGGCCTTCGGTGGAGCCCCCTATGGGGCCACGAAACGTTGTGCTGGGTGGGGGAGACGCATGCGGACTTTGCCACTGGGGCCTTGGGTGGGTGCAGCTCCCTATGGGCCACGAAACGTTGTGCTGGATGGAGGAAACGCATGTGGACTTTGCCACTGTGGCCTTCGGTGTCGCCATGAGGCCGCGAATCGGCGGGGTTCCTTATGGGGCCACGAATCGCTGTACTGGGTGTGCGGGACGCATGCGGGCGGTCCCACTGGGACTTTCGGTGGGGCCTCCCTATGGGGTCACGAAGCGCTGTACTGGGTGGGGGACACGCATGCGGGCGGTCCCACTGGGACCTTCGTTGGGATTCCGTATGGGGCCACGAAGCGCTGTACTGGGTGTGCGGGACGCATGCGGGCCGTCCCATTGGGACCTTCCGTGGGGCTCCCTATGGGGCCACGAAACGCTGTACCGGGTGTGCGGGACGCATGCGGGCGGTGCCACTGGGGCCGTCTGTGGAGCTCCCCATAGGCCACGAAATCCTGTTTTGGGTGGTGCGTGACCCATGCGGGCGGTGGCACTGGGACCTTCGGTGGAGCTCCCTATGGGGATACGAAGCGCTGTACTGGGTGGTGCATGACGTATGCGGGCGCTCCCACTGGAGCCTTCGGTGGATCCCCCTATGGGGCCACGCTGCGCTGTACTGGGTGGTGCGTGACGCATGCGGGCGGTCCCACTGGGACCTCCGGTGGAGCCCCCTATGGGGCCACGAAGCGCTGTACTGGGTGGGGGACACGCATGCGGGCGGTCCCACTGGGACCTCCGGTGGAGCTCCGTATGGGGCCACGAAACGTTGTGCTGGATGGAGGAAACGCATGTGGACTTTGCCACTGGGGCCTTCGGTGTCGCTCTCTCTATGAGGCCACGACGCGCTGTAGTGGGTGGTGCGTGACGCATTCGGGCGGTCCCACTGGGGCCTTCGGTGGAGCCCCCTATGGGGCCACGAAACGTGTGAGGGGTGTGCTCAAACGGATGATGATGACGATGGTGATTAATGGGGAAGGAGGGGGAGGAGGGGGAGGAGGGAGGAGGAAGGAAGAGGAGGAGACTCGGGGCGCTGTCTCTTTAGAACAAGGACCCAACACCGCAGGATGGTTGGGAACAAACGGCATAAACATAAACTTTTGGCACTCCGCGCGGATTTCTTGGATCCGCGCTGGGCCCCCCGGCGGCGCCTCCGGCGCCGCCTTTGGCGCGCTCCGCGCGCCAGGGAGGGGGGCCCGGCGCAGATCCAAGCAATCCGCGCGGAGCGCCAGGAATTCGTGTTTATGCAGTTGTTCTTGTTGTTGTTGTTGTTCTTCTTCTTCTTCTTCTTATTATTATTATTCTTATTATTATTATTAGTCGTATTATAATTAGATTCCACTCCTTTGTTCTACCTGCTCCTTTCTACCTTTTTTTTATCCTACCATTTCCCATTTTCTACCTACCCCTTTTCCATGTTCTCTACTTCTTCTTCTATCCCTTTTCATGCCTCGTTTTCCACTTGTCTGCCTGCTCCTTCCGACCGACGGGTCCCTGGGACCCCCCGGGCCAGCCTCCGGGGCCTCCGCAGCGCGCAGAGCGCAGGAGCGAAGCGGGGCCAGCGGCCCGCCAGGGGGGGGGGGGCGCGCCTGCCGGGCGGGCGGGCGGGCGCGCTGGCCCGCGGGCCCCCCAAAACACACGACCGCTGCGGCAGCAGCAGCTCTTGTTGGGGCGTGACCAGGAGGAGGAGGAGGAGGAGGAGGGGGGAGGAGGAGGAGGAGGAGGAGGAGGAGGAGGAGGAGGAGGAGGAGGAGGAGGAGGAGGAGGAGGAGGAGGAGGAGGAGGAGGAGGAGGAGGAGTGGGGAGGAGGAGGAGGAGAACGCGGGGCGCCGTCTCTTCAAAACGAGGACCCAACACCACAGGATGGTTGGGGAAAAATAGGACCACTGCGGCAGCAGCAGTTGGCTCGGCTGCGAGCGGAGGCCTCCTCAGAAGGGGGAGCGCGCCTCGAGATCAGCCAAGCAACGACGCCCACCTCGCCAGTGGGAGGGGTCTGACCACGCGCGGCGGCTAACTCCCAACCTCTGTCGGCTGCATTGAAGGCAAGGGAGCCCGCCCCTTCTGAGAAGGGTCTCCCCTTCCCACTGCCCCCCGGGCTCGCCGCCGACTGCCGCCTCTCAAAGACACCTGAGCGACGGAAAACAACGAGTTCAACTGCGCCGACATAGGCTCGTAAGCTCCCTGTCGAACGGTCGCGCGCAAGCGCCTGTTTCGAATAGCCCGCGCAAGCCACCGCGTAAGGTCGCTATGTCGTCTCGCGTGGGGCCTTTTTGTTTTCGTCGCTCACCTGGGGGGAGGGAGGGGGAGGGAAAGTTCTGCTGCTCCTCGCCCAAGCCGGCCGTTTTGACGGCACACAGAGCCTCCCAAGGCAGTGCCACATGCGCCACAGCGGGCTCCAGGACGGGCCCAGAGACCGTCTTCTTCCTCCTCCTCCTCCTCCTCCTCCTTCTCCGCCTCCTCCTCGTCTTCATCCTCGTCCTCCTCTTCTTCCTCCTGTCGTGGGCCACCTTGGAAGGGTGGCATCCCGATCCACGCTCCCCAGGCCTCCTTGGGAAAGGCACGCGGAGCACGCGCCAGAAGTCGCGCGGCGACATCCCCAGGAGAACCGCCCCCTATTGGACCCCTGGGCACCTTCGCGGGAGTTTTTACCGTATCCATGAGAGGAGGAAAAGGTACCCGTGCCTCCTACCCTTCCCTCCAGTTCGTCCTTTTTGGGCCTCCTGCGAGGCTCTCGTCGCCAACGTTTGATTCGCCTCGAAGTCCTGGTCAGAACGCACCCAGGGAGGTCCGGGGAGTGGCGGTATCGCTATTCTTTGATTTTCCCCAATGCAGTGTAGAGGGCTCGAAGGGACCCGAGGACACTGCGCCCAGCTCCTGCGCCACGACGGCGCACCCGCCCTCTTGCTTGCCACTCTCCCCCCCTCCCGGCTGCGCAGTCCATGCCGCAGTGGAAGGACCTCCTCGCGCCGCCCGCTGGAGTAGCAGGGCTGGGCCGCCTCGCACGGAGGACGAGAGGAGGGCGGCCGGCTGCCGTCCGCCATCCGCTCCAGCGATCGAGCACGCACGCCGACGGGTGGCCCTCCTCTTCCGCGTAATTATGTGGAAGGAGAGGAACGCAGTAAACCAACTTTTGGCGCTCCGCGCGGATTTCTGGGATCCGCGCTGGGACCCCCCGGCGGCGCCTCTGGCGCCGCCCCTTGCGCGCTCCGCGCGCCCTGGAGCAGGCTCCGGCGCAGATCCAAGCAATCCGCGTGGAGCGCCACAAGTTTCTGTCTCTGGCCTTTCTTCTTTTTCCAGCATGGTGATCGGTCGGGTTGCTTTTGCAGGAGCTTCGATCCAGCTGCGGGGTGGGTGGGGGGTAGCCTTCGGACAGCCATGGGGCCCAGGGCTGCGCACGGGCAGCCCGAGGAGGTGCTCCTGGCTGGCCTCCTCCGGCGGTCTCGGCCCTGTTAGTCCCGCCCGGGGCGGCTGGGTCCATGGCCCCCCTGTATTCGGGGGTTGCTACAGTGTGTGAAGTTCACTCGTATCCCCAGTACATTCTTCCTCCTTTGCCTCTACCTACGGGCCCTAGTGTAGGATCGCCCCCCCGGTCGTATCCCTATACGCACAGCTAAAGGTGCCCCTGGCCCAAGGTGCCCCCAGCTGTTCACTCCACTCTGGAGCCCCATCGGGCCTCCTGGGCCTCGCGGGGGGTGCTCTGGAGGCCGTGGGGGCCCCCCTGGAGATCCCGGGGGCGCCTTGGGCCAGGGGCACCTCTAGCAGCACCCGGATGTATTAGCAAAGGCTGCACCACAGAGGTCGCGCAGGAAACGTTGCGCATTTTCCGGTAGGCCGCGAGCTCCGAGTAGCATGCTGCAGCGACCAGCTTGCGACCCTCTGGTGCATCGATCGTAGCTGTGAGCACGAATGTGCCAAATGGAGTGCGGACTGGAAAGACGCATCTGGCCTTTAAAAAAGGCGATCCAGTCGACGCTCAGGGCTACCTGATGAGTTTTCAGGCCGGGGGGGCAGTGCCGATTTCTCTCAGCGTTTCCTCACTCATTATGCGCCTGTCTTGTGTCGATGATGGATAGAAGAGCGAAGATGAATTGCTAATTCATAAAAATGCAGATCTTGACTTTTCACAAAGGGGCTGTTACCTACATAGTCCATGTGCCGTGATGGTACAGCCAGGACTTCCTCGGGCGCCGTGCAGGGGGATCTCATGGACGTCGAGGAGGATGGGCGCGTGGAGTGGATAATGAGGGAGCCAGGCAATTGAGCGGGAGGAGGGTAGGATGCGGACGATGAGAGTGCCGACGAAAGCATCGCGTTCATCTCCCCCTCCTCGTCGTCCTGCTCGTCCATCTCCTCCAGATTTTCCTCCGAACCCTTCCAGAGTCGCAAGGCCAGCCGCAGCTCCTGCTTCAGGTTGGCGCGGACAGTGCATCGCAGGTGTTCGTGCTGTGTCTTAGCATCGCTCGGAAGTGTGTTTTTTCCCTGCGAGGACCTTCGAGAACATGCTGGATCATCTATAGGAAGATCAGCGCAGGAAACCGAAACATCCACGGGGAGTGGACGTTCGAACGATGGCAAGGTGTCCTTCTCCCCCCCCGCCGAGTAACGCCCCCTGCTCTCCTCCTCGCCCTCTCCGCCCTCGCCCCCCCATTCGACCTTCCGGAGTGCTGAAGAATATCCCTCCAGACCTATACACGCCGGTCGTTGAAAGTAGGTATTTCGGGATTCCCAGATCCCGATTTACTTCGAGCGCCTTCCTACTTCAAGAGCCGATATGCTTTTGCTGTGCTTTGATACTGTTTGGGAGGGCCGAAGCCCAATCTACTTCACCCGCCTTCCCACTCCATCCGTCGACCCACCCTTCCCGACCGACGTGCAGATCGGTCTGGATGACTCGAAGCCTCGACGGGACTTTCGATGCCGATAGTCCTGGCGCAGTTTTTTGCCCTCCGGGGCGGGCGTCGACGGGCGGCGGGGGGGCCTCGACGCGGGGGCGCCGTCGCGCGCCGCCCTCCCGGAGGACTTCCCGCACCTGAAGGTCATCCGGTCCCTCTACGCCGACGCGTTCCCTCCGCGTGCTGGCCTCGACCGCCGCCCCGGCGGGCGACGTCGAGAGCTCCGATCGGGACGATCACCGATCTTCTTTCTCCCCCTCTTCCTCCTCCTCATCCTCCTTCCTCCGGTACGGAAAAAGTGGGTACAATGCCCAGCAGCAGTTTTGGCTCGTTTTGAACAGGACTCGCTGTCCGCGCCGCCGCGGACGCTGTTCTCTGAAGACGCCGAGCCGCATGCCCAACAGCGGCCCGTGTCGGTTTTAGACAACACTTGTGGTTTGGCATCGTGCCCATTTTTTCGTACCCTTTTTGTGCGTTTAAATCCGAGGGTTTTGTGGGGGGGGTGGGGGGCCTTCCGCGTCTTCTTGCGAGGCAGACTCCTGGCGACGCAAACGACCACATGCTAGAAGGGTATCCAGGGGTGGTCTCTTGCTGGCCGCGGGGCCGCGAACTCAGCAGCACGGGATGAGCGGGTCCGTGGGAAGAGGTCGAGGGCTCCACGGGCTGGCGAGTCGCTTTTTCGTCTCCACTTCCGCCCCGTGCCCCGCCCCGTGGGTGCCGCGTGGGCAGCCGCCCGCGGGCCCGCTCGCGGGCGCACGGGGAGGCCGGCGGCGGGAGGCGTCGGGGATCGCTCCCTCCCTCCCTCCACAATTAGTCCATATGAATACTGCTCTCCCTCTTCCCCTGATGACGGTTTGAAAGTGCTCGACCCCCCCCCGCGTATTGTTTTTTTACACAGGTTTCCCCAGAATTGGGTTTTCGCCGGCATTTTTTTTTCAAAATGCTGCTCTCGCTGAGGTACTGGCCTCATTTTCGGGCCCCGCTCGTTCCGAATCGTGCTTCCGCTGCAGCGCTGGCCTCATTCCCGTGCTTCCGCTTGTTCCGAATCGTGCTCCCGCTGCAGCGCTGGCCTCACTTCCGCGCTCCCGCTCGTTTCGACTCGTGCTCCCGCTGCAGCGCTGGCGTCATTTTCCGTGCCATGCCACGGCATGCAATGCAATGCTAGGTTGATACTACGTTTTGCGGTGCTCTTCTACGCCATGCCATGCCGTGCTCTACAATGCATCGCGTACCCTTTCGGGATCATGGCCCTGCTCGACATCCGACTGTGCGAGTAGAGAGGGGATCTACGCCATGGTAAGGGATGGGAGGGAGGGGTAGGATGTCAGACATGACGCGAGCGCATCTAGTTTGCCTCCCTCCCCTCCCTCCCTCCCTCCCCCTTCCCTTCCTCCCTCCTCCCTCTCGGCTATCCCCCTCGAGTCTCATCCCCCCCCCCCCCCCTTGCATGACGCGCAGGTTCCGGCGACTGCGCGTGATCCCGCTTGCGGACGAGGACCCCGCAAGGGCGGCCGCGCTCGCGCCTGGCGCCACGGGGCGCCGGGGGAAGCATCGGAAGGGAAGCGGGAGGTGACTGGGAGGACAGCTTGAAGGAAGGGCGAGGGGAGGAGGAACGTGGAGAGGAGCAGGGACAGGAGGATGCGCAGGATCAGGAGGAGCGGGGGAGTGGGAATTTCTGGCGAGACGGGGGAGGAGAAGAGAGGAGGAGGAGGAGGAGAAGGAGGAGGAGTCGGCGGATGGGGAGGAGCAGGAGGAAGGGGAGGAGCAGGAGAGGGAGGAGGAGGTGGGGGGGTCAGAAGCGGATAAGAAGAAGGATGAGGAGGAGGAGGATGAGGAGGAGGAGGAGGAGGAGAGATGGACGAGGATGAGGAACATACGCAGGAACACAGTGATTATACTACCGGACCAGGGACAGGAGCAAGAGCACGAGCAAGAGCACGAAGAGAACGAATGAAGCGGCGGAGGATGTGAACGATGACAAGGGGGGATGGAACACAAGGCGGGCGGGGGAAGGAGGAAGAATGGGGAAAGCGAGAGGGATGACCAGCAGGTTGACGACTATGATGAGTTCTGCGAGGGGGGTCGACTAAGATGGGGACGGCCGACCTCCCATCCGTGATGGCCTCGCCTTCGGAGCCCTCCGGGAGGGGGCGCGCCGCCGCCTGGCGAGCGCGTTGGGTGGCGGCAGCTGGCGAGCCGCGCTGCTGTCGTCTTCGGCGCCAGGCAGACCCGCGTTCCGCGGAGTGACCTACGCACCTACCTTCCTCTCCTCTGTGACGGCCTGATTCCCTCTCCTCCGTAGCGGCCTTGATCATCGTCATCCCCCAGCGGGGTGCGCGCCCAGTGGTGGGTTCGTGCCTGTCGGAGGTACCTTCCAAGTCACATGCATATTGCAACCAGTGCGGTTTTCATCGTTCGTAACCCTTTGGGCATCCATGAGCCATTCTAGCAGTATGAGGCAATAACATCATCATCGGTCTCCACCGGTTCCTCCAAAGCCCTTTGCTCCGTTCCTCTCCTGCTCATTCTCTTTCGCCCAACGCATGTATGATTTTGTCCCCCTTCCTTTCCTCCTACCTGCCCTTCCCCCAATCTCATTGGCTCTCACGCTGCTGTTCGTTCATCTTTGTTTTTCCTATTTGTCTTCACCTCCTTATCCTCCCGCCGCTCCTTGTTTGTGCTATCTCCGGCTGCTTGTTTGGAGAGGCGAGCGCTGCTGTCCACGATCGGTTGGCACGGCGGACCTGCATTTGGCCTTGAGGGTTTTGCGGTGATTCCTCGGCTGCGTTCGGCAGATTCCATTCGTTCTCCACGGGCAGGTGGAAGGGGATCCAGGCCCAAGAGACGGGGGTCAATGCAAACGGGGGTCAGCCAGAACGCCGGATCTTGCAGGATCGCGCGGGGGCCAGGGTCGCATTGACCCGGGTTTGGGTGCAGGCTCCTGGCGCAGGATCTTGCCGGATTCTGCAAGGTTTGATTGACACGGGTCTGGATTGACCCAGGTTAGAAGATCCCCGAGGGGAGGGGTGACGCGAAGGAAGGAAGGATGACGGGTAGAAGCAGGAAGATCAAACGGAAAAGCGGGGGATATGGGAATAGTTCGGAGAGGATGACGACTATGACTGCAGGGCCGCTATACGTTTCGTTTGCGCGTTGACCAGCATACATACTCGTCTTTGGTGTGATGTTGCAGTCGTGCTGTCTCGTAGCGCTATTTTCTCGTCGTCATCATCGCCACCACTTTCGTACATCATCATCGTCCGATTTCCCCCGCTCCACCCCCCCCTCGCCCCTTTGGTCCTCCTCATACTTCCATCATTCCGCGTTCCTGCTGATAATCCGCTCCTCCTGCTCTCCTAGGCCACTGTTCCCGCGCCCGTTTTCGACGGGTGTTGTTACCACGTTCCGTGACATTGGTATCGCGATCGCTGCTCCAATGACGTCCGGGTTTCAACAAGAGGTGGTCTGATGTTCGGCCCTAAGCTGATCGTCGGGCTGACGCCGAACCGACCGTTCCAGTGCTATCTTTCTATCTACATGACGGTACGCGTGCCACTTGCATCTTTTGAAGTTGCACTGCCCTCTGCCTATGCCACGGGCCCATTGCCTTCTTAACTTCCCTTCCTCTTGCACGCAGGACAATTCGCCTTTCGTTTGCCCCGAATGGCCACACGCTTGAGCGGACTGCCCGTGCCTCGCCGCCGACGAAAAAATGCGTCAGAGGAGGAGGAGGAGGAGGAAACGAAACAGGGGAGGAGGAGGAAGACAACCGTAACCATATTGGCTCAAGTCCGTAGTGGTTCGGCTCAGGACTTGGCGTTTTGGCGTGGGGAGGCGCGCCTCCATCAGAGTACTTTCGGTGAGCCCCTGTTGGATCGCACTACATCACACCACGGCTCTATGGCTCAGCAGCGCTATGTTGTTTGTCCTCACATTTTTTGCTGCTATCGAAGGGACGCGGCGCGATGCTGGCGCTGCCGAGGCAATCTTCAACCCGTTCCATGGCCAGGAGAAAAAGGTACGAACCACCTGGCAACAGGGACCTCCCCAGGGGCTGTGACTTCGACAACTCCAGCCGTTTCGTCACCACCACCGATGAGCTCCGCAAGGCACTGGCAGAGGGGCTCCCGTATCAAGATGGAGAAAACCACCTTGAGGCTGTCACCCAAATCGAAGAAGCCACCGCCAACAACAAAACCAATCGAACGAACGAAGCAGCCATACGCCAAAAGCGCGTGGGCAAGGGAAACTAGAGCGACATGCCAAACGCGCGCCAACCTGGCCTGGACGCGCCAAATGCGCGTCGAGCGGACGGAGGGAAGAAGAGGGAGGAAGATTATGAACATACGATTGCACGCCAAATGCGTGCCCAAGTGGCCTGGAGGCGCCAAATGCGCGCCGGGAAGGCGGAAGGAGGAGGAGGCGGAGGAGGAATATGATGATGATGATGTATTTGTGTCCTGCTAAGACGCACAAGCCATGCAGTGCATATCATAGGTACTCGTCTTCTCCGCATTCAATTGGCCTGGGAACTTTGATTGCTAACGCGTTCCATTTTTTGTTGTCTAGCAGAGTGTCCATTAAAGCTTCAGAACTAGGGAAACAAGGATAAATAAGTGATAACAATCCTGCTGCCCATTCTCTTTTTGGTCTCCCCCGCGCACGTTTGCAAAGTAGCGTAACCGGCTTGAGGCCATCAGGTTGAAACGTTGCGGCACGCAGCGCATGAGAATTAGGGCTCTGGCCAATCTTCCCAAATAGTTGAAGTTGTTGTTGCAATAGCTGCGATGTGTAAGGTAATTGTTGGCTTCTCTCCAGAACGATCTTGTTTGATACTTTGGATATGAACGAATGGGGGATATCCAATATTTTCCTGAGGCACTTTGCTTGGAAACTGTCCAATCGTCGTTTCTCGGCTTTGTTGAACCATGCCGAGCTGAGGGAATACAAGACCTTGCTTGTGACCATCGCTAGGAAAATCTGTAACTTCCTTTTGATGCTGATTGAGGTGTGCTTCCATACTTTCGCATACCTGCAGAATTCCCCCCAAGCCTGCCCCAGTCGTTTGTTAAATTCTGCGTAAATGTGCCCAGTATTGTAGATTGTAGCCCCAAGGTGTACTAAATTGTCTTGGCATGTATTTGTTCCCTGTGAGGCGTAAATAACTCCATATTGTTGTTTACGTGCACAACTTGAAACTTATCCCAATGCAGCTCCATGCCAACTTGCCCCCCAGCGGTGGCGACCGCTTTCAACAAGTTTTGGACGTCTCGTTGATTTCTGCCATAAACCAAAGTATCGTCTGCGTACAACAGAATTGATAGACTACCAGTTTTGTGCGAAAGTTTTGATTGTTCGTCGAGGATTTCCACCGCATCGTACATTACCACCGTCATCACCATCACGAACAAGAGCGGTGACAGGGGGCACCCCTGCGCGATGCCTGAATGTTGCGGCCTCTCTTTCGACTTATGCCCACCATCCGTGACACAGAACTTCCTGTTAGTATATCTGTTTTTGATAATTGCCAAAATGCGCGTGGGGAGACCGAATCTTCCAAGAGCTGCGAGCATCGCATCCACATTAATTGAATCGAAGGCTTTCTTCCAATCCAGCGCGACGAATGTTGAGCCACCATTTCGCCCTATGTTTGATACTTCTACATGCCTTCGTACCATATGTATTGCATCTGCCGTGCCGCGCCCCCTGCAGAAACCCAATTGTGTTGCATCGACCCGGTCTTCAGCACCAGCATTTTGCAATCGTTTTAGAAGTAAGTTTGCCTCCGTTTTGTACGCCACGCAAAGTAAGCTGATTGGTCTGTAATTGGCGCAGATGTACACGGGCCCTTTGTTTTTGTATATTGTGCTTACAAACGAGCGCCGCCAAGCGTGGGGAACAGCTTCCTCTGACCAGCATGCGTTGCATAACTTCCTAAGCCATTCGATGCCGCCGGGAGTTTGGGCCACTGCCTTCCAGTATTCTGCAGGAGTCCCGTCCGCTCCAGCAGACTTGCTCCATTTGAGTTTTTTGACAATTTTCCCAACCTCTTACGGTGTGAATGCCGCCCCCAAGCGGTCCGTCGGTAATAATAATGCTGGTCGTACTCTCCATTGCACTTTTTTCCAGGAACTCCGCCATCGTGTCTGCCCGTCCAGAACTCTCCACCAATTCCCCCGCCAGGTTTTGTAGGCGTCTTTGTTTGCGCGGGCGTGCTCGGCAATGAGCGCGTATGGCATCCCAATTGCCATTTGCGATGCGCCCTTCAATCCAAGATGATTTGTCTTGTTTGCATGCTTGTGGTACTTGTTTGAGTAAACGCTTCTCTTCTTGAGTGTTGCTTGCTTGTCGTGCCCTGCTCCTCTCATCAATTAAATCCAACGTCCGTTTGCTAATCCATGGTCTTTTCTTTTTCAGCTGAAGCTGGTGGAAGTACATTGGCAGCAGCTCGAGCCGCCTGCACCCCTTGTTCCCATCGGTTTTCTGCAGTTTCTG